TATATATATATATATATATATATACACACACACACACACACAATATGGCTGTTCAATGTCTAGTTTGTTGTGACAATTTACCTTGCTTACCTTGCATATGTATGTATGTATGTTACACACAAAAAATGGGGGGGGGAAGATGAATCAAAAACATTAATGATTATTAAGCATCATCAAGCAGCAAAAATATAAAACGTAACAAAAAGAATTGCTTTAACCAATAAACATAAACTGAAAAAATCGTTTGTAAACAATTAACAAAATTACTCTTTGTGACAAGACCCTGGTCTCCCCTGTAATATACAACAATAACAATATGATTAAGTATTTTTTTATTACAGATTTTTACTATCATGCCACACTGCTGTCAGTTACTTAAGCATGTGCATTCACATTTTAGAGACCATCTTCCTGAAGACAATCATATGGAGTTTGTGACTCAGCGTAAAAGCGTGTTTCTGAGTACCGTCAAACCAGGGGGAGGTGCAGTAAGATTGTTTCTGAGAAATGCTACAGACTAGGTCAAAAAATACCCAGCTTCGGTAGAGTTTACTCCCCCTTACCCCACCCTACGTCTCTCATTCTCTCCGTTTCAGCCACAAGAACATCTGGCATCCTTTCCTTCATCTCTCACCTGTTTCTCAGGACCTTGAGCTCCTATAAATGGCACCTCTTGAAAGATGTTGATGCAGGCTGTTAGTGTTTGAGCAGCCTGCCCATTTCCTGGCCAGGACAGACAGTTTGCTTAAGCTGCTTGATTTCTCAGAGGATTGATAAGTTTGCCACTTGCACCTTCTGCTCATGTAGCACAACATGAGCATAACGCTGAACCCCCGTGGAACCTCTACAGCTTTACGAAGAACGGCATGAGAATATTCTCTGTGTGTACTGCTCAACATATCATCACAAAAAGGACGTCAAACAAATGTTCATCTTTTCTTTTAACTGCTCCTGATCCAGTAGCGTTGACCATTACATACATTATATATTAACTACATAAGACTTATATCCTGGGAAACTGACATTTTCTTCGTTCCACATACTAATTACAGAATTGCTATCTCCTATTTGCCTCAAAATCACAATGAGTCATGAAAACAACTCCGAACACAGCAGCTTGATTGATAGATTTGTGGGAATAAAGTCTCGGTGTTCATTTTTTTATAGTATTGTAAGGGTTCACTGAAATAAAATTTAAGACTAATTAAAAGTTGATCTGACAAGAGGCATAAATATTATGAAGAAACATGCTCTCCTCAGCATAACCTCTGTGTGCACAGAAACCTGGCATGTTTTATACAAAACAAAAATGCTGTTCTCTGCGCAGTCAAATGGCCCTCATTTCAAACAGGGAACTTTCTCTCAGCCATATGTCTCTTATAAATGATAGTACTGAAGAGAATGGAGAGAGGGGATTCTCTAGATAAAGATTGTGCTGCGTGCTGTGCTTTCATTGTTTCCCTCTACATGTTTCTATCAGCACTGTTCCAGAAATCAGTCATTGTTTGCCAGCCATTTCCACTCATTATTGTTCTCGCAGTGGCCTCCAGTGACTCAGCACCGGGACTTGTGTGAAGTGAACACACTCACTAACTGTCCTGGGCCTTTGATTATCAGCCACACACACACACACACACACACACATGCATGTCTTCACCTTTCATTTGAGTGCATGGAATATGGGAGAGTTCCAGATGTTACCAAGT